TAAATCATTTAGTTCGGTTCAATATAAATTTGTTTGGCACAAAAATTCGATCAATTTTATTTCTAAAAGATTGACATGATTATTTCAATTTTTTTTCTACTGATGTGCACATGAGAAGAAAGTAATATACATTTTATTTATCTTTATTGAGCATTTAGTATTTTTTTTAATTGATTTACAGATTTATCAAATTATAAACATAAATTAAATTTTTAAAAATTGCACAAAGCCCCTATAATTTGTCTAATTTCCAAAAACCAATCCAAAAATGTCCCAAATGTCTTCTGCAAATTCGATTGCCGGAACCGCCGTCAAACCGCCACCTACCGCCACCAACCTTGTCATCACAGCACCATCAACGACGAGGGCAACAGTCGGCGGCTGCCAATCACGATCCGCCGGCGCGATTAATGAGCCTCAAATCACAATGAATAAAAAATCCACCAAATCGTCACCACTACCAAAACCCCTCCCGCCAAAGTCCCCACCAGGCCATCCCCACCGCCGCCAGCCCTTCCAGAACCACCCCGACTCTGCCGAGGACAACAACAGAAATTGAACGCCGACGCCTTCTCCATCTTCATCGGACATCGTCAGACGATTTATTTCCGATCGATACAACGGCGACTGATGATTGCCACCGTTTAATTATGCGTGGTCAATACCTGTACCCAATCTTGACCGTTAATCTGCCAGATCTTATGGTATATATTTATTCTCATTTCTTTCACCATCTTTCTTTCTCATATGATCCCTTCTCTAGATCCCAGCCACGACCTTATGGCAATCATCAGCCGCCGTTGTATCGACCGGAAATAAATTGTCTGATGATGTCCGATGAAGATGGAGAAGGCGTCAGTGTTCAATTTTTGTTGTTTTCCTCGGCAGAGTCGGCGTGGTTCTGGAAGGGCTAGCGGCGGTGGGGATGGCCTGGTGGTGACTCCGGCGGGAGGGGTTTTGGTAGTGGTGACGATTTGGTGGATTTTGTATGGATTGTGATTTGAGGCTCATTAATCGCGCTGGTGGATCGTGATTGGCAACCGCCGACTGGTGCCCTCGTCATTGATGGTGCTGTGATGACAAGGTTGGCGGCGGTAGGTGGCGGTTTGACGGCAGTTCCGGCAATCGAATTTGCAGAAGACATTTGGGACATTTTTTGATTGGTTTTCGGAAATTAGACAAATTATAGGGGCTTTGCGCAATTTTTAAAAATTTAATCTATGTTTATAATTTGATAAATCTGTAAATCAATTAAAAAAATACTAAATGCTCAATAATGATAAATAAAATTCATATTACTTTGTTCTCATGTGCACATCAATAGAAAAAAAAAATTGAAATAACCATGTCAATCTTTTAGAAATAAAATTGATCGAATTTTTGTGCCAAACAAATTTATATTGAACCGAACTAATTGATTTATTCGGTTCGTTAATCGAATTAATCAAAATAACTAAAAATTAATTATTATTTATATTCTAAAAAAAAAAATCGATGTTTTAGAATTTGAACACTAATAGTAGTCCATCCCTTCTTTCTTAAACCGCTCTAAAGAAGAAGAATCCTTCAAGGAAATGCTTGGCACGGCTTAATTTGTCAGTTAACATAAATAACCAAAATGACTGACATAATCTATATTATTTATAATAGCAAACATGATTACTATTTAATGTTGTTTTTTAATTCATATTTAATATAATTTTTTAACTAAAAAAAATTGTATATATGTAAACGAAATATATTGTACAATGTAACAGTTAATTTTAAGGTGCAATTCTTCCAACATTATGGTAAATTGCACATTAATGTTATGTAAATTGCACCATAACCATCACGGTTGCACTTTAATGTTATGTAAATTGCACATCAATATCTTGATCTAATATTTTATTTATTTTAATTAAAAAATTATATTTTATAAAACAATATAAAAATAGTATTTGTTTATATGATTTGGTCGGTCCGGTTATCTTTTTTATTTAAAAATTAAAAAATAAAAAAGACATTGAACTGAAATAACTAAAATTTTAAAGGTAAACACATATAAGGTGCAACGTGTTGTTTTATAAAATGCAATATTCTGCTATATGAAATGCGATAATATATAGATCGATCGGTTATTTAAAATCTATTGTTTTATAAGGTGCAACGTGTTGTTTTATGAAGTGCAATATTCTGCTATATGAAGTGCGATAATATATAGTTCGATCGGTTAGTTAAAACATGTTGTTTTATAGGTGCAATATGTTGATTTATAAAAATATATTTATTATTTATATTTTTTATTTATTATTATATTACCATTGGTTGAAAATAAATAATATATATATGATATAAAAATAATATTTTTTATATAAAAAAGATTATTTTTATAGTTTGTTCGGTTCTGACAGTTGTTTTAATTTCAATCAAAGTTATATGTTTTATTTTTCATTCTCATACTAAATAATGTGCATTTTATCTATAATAACTATGTATTTGATAAATTTTCATTAAACTACATATTTGCCCCTTGAACTATATTGATATATAATGAAGTTATCTAAAATTGCACATAAATACTTTAGATTTATCAAATTTACAAAACTTGCAAACCCTAAATCCAACAATTCACGGTCCATTTTCTGAAATTGAGATCTAAGAACTGAACAATCCAAGTTCTGAAATTGGTGCCAAATTATACAATTTCAGCTCCACGTTGACTGTACCGGCGGTACAGGCGGAGACCGGAAGTCGAGAATCTGCTCAGCGGCGGAGGTTGAGTCGGCGGCGGCGGACGTCGATGAACCGGAGCTGTCGAGCTGTGATGTTGAAGAGTGATGACGATGTGGACGACGGCGGCTGTGTCGCGACGAAAGCTCGCTCGTTTTCTTATTGACGTGTCCGACGGCGAGTTTGCAGTTGGGTAGCGGCGGGGTTGCGACAGGTTCTCGGAAGGCAGAGCTGCTCTTGGTCCTCGCGAGGCGAAGAGCGGCGACCGGCGACAGAACACGACTCCGTGCTGCGGCGGGGCTTTGGCGGTGGTTGGAGCATGGCCCGATCGGACTGTGTGTGTGTGTGTGTGTGTGTGTGTGTGTGAGAGAGAGAGAGAGAGAGAGAGAGAGA